GTTATCTGTTTTATTTGTATATAGTTGGGTAAAATATTTTCTGATATTTTCCTCATTTCTTGTGATTTCTCTTTTAATTTTTGATCCTAGTAATACTCTTTTTAAATTAAGTTACCCAATGGCTTATGTATTTTATTGTATTTTTAAAAACCAGTGTAAGAAAGATTTTAGGGGGTTAGGCTTCCACAGCAGGATAAGAAATTCCAAGATCTTGTTGATAGCCCCTCAACCAATCAGAAAGTACTCCAAACTTTTCTATAAACAACTGGTTCCTTAAGAAAGAGCCCTAGAAGCTAAACTGGTTGCAACTAGCTGGTTTCAAGGACAGGGCTTCCATTGGGTAAAGGCTTTTCTCCACCGCTGCTTGCTTAATAAGCTTATTGAATATAAGCTGACACACCCCAAGGGCCAAGATAGCCGCCATTTTTGAACATGGGACCCATGCAGTGGGCAGAGTTAACAAAACATGGGTAAACACGAGATGGGCTATCGAGGAAGGGGTGTAACTCAGATGAACCAGACCAATCGTAGCCCTGATGGGTGGAGTATGGATCTTACTAGTGGTTTAAAAGTGGATTCTACCACCGAACCAGTGCCCATGTGCTAGTAAAGTATATTGTGTTCCATTCTCTTGCAAGAAGCATAATAGAGACTTTTCTTCACTCACTCACTGTAGTAGATTTTTTGTTTCAGATTTTTCTAACAACCAGCTCCTAGTTTTATTATTACTATTTTTTACACTCAATTTTGTTAATCTTGTCATTGATCTTCACAATTTCCATTTTGGTTTTTAAATGGCGACTTAAAATTTGTTTTCTAGTCTTTTCAGTTAAATACCAATAAATCAGTGTGTTCTTTCTTTTGTTGATCCTTTGGCTACAGTCCAGAGATGTTATCTTGTTGTTGTTTTCTCTGTTTCTCTGATTTGTTCTTTGACTCACTATATTCTCTAGGATTAAGTAAATTGGGATTAAGTTTAATTTCCAATCTTTCCTTCAGTGGCCCTTTTAAAATATAAGTTCTGTTGCATTGTGATCAGTAAAGTATGTATTTATTATTTCTACTTTTATGCATTTGTGAGGGTTTTATGCTCTAACATGTGAACAGTTTTTTTAAATGTACCTGAGGACTGAGAAATATGCATACTCATTCTATTTCCATTTAGTAATTGCCAGAGATCTTTCATATCCAACTTTTATAAAATTCTATTCAAGTTCTTGCCTTCTTTATTTTTTGGTTAAATTTGTCAGTGTGTGAAAGGGGTACATTTGAGGTTTCCCACTTTCTCCTTGTTAATTGTTTAGCCATTAGATGCATATATGTATTTATGTTCAATGTCTGGTTTCTTTTAGCATATAATGAGTTTCCATGTTGGTCTGTTGTGGTTTTGGTTTTGTCTGATATCATGATGGATACTTCAATTTTTTTTTTTTTAGTTCTGTAGTGTGATAGATTTTTCTCTGTCTCCTTACTTCAGCTGTGTTGGAATCTTTACATTTTAGGTATGTTTCTTGTAAACAACATATTGATTGTTGGATTTTGCTTTCTAATCCAGCCTGCGCTCCTCTTCTGTTTTATTGGTGAGTGTATCCCATTCACATTGACAGTTATGATCGTTACTTGTGTGTTTCTCTCCATCCTGTTCTCTCATGGTTTTTCCACTCTTTCTCTCTCCCCTCTTTACAAAGAAGGAAGGTGTTGAGAGTGGGATGTGCTCAGCACCAGTGCTCAGTGGTGGTTTGGTCTCCTTTTGCTCCCCTAACCCTCTTCTTGACCCATCTTCTGAGGTTTTTGAGTTTGTTTTGCTTTTGACTAATTTCTGTCTCCCTGAATCTTCCTTTCCTCTTTGCTCCTCTTCTCCCCTCTCCTTGTTCTCTCCTGTTGCTTTGTTGATTTGAATGTATTACTACTCCAAACATGTGTATGTGAGTAGTCTACCCTCTTTTGACCAGTTCGTGTGAAAGTATAAAAATGAAATGAAAACAACTTCCTCCTGTACCTCCTCACTTCCCTATTTGTATAATCTTCCTGTTTTGCTTATTTAATATCTAATAAGCTGAGGCCATCAAGTAGAGTTCTCTGTTGTGTCATTCCCAGAAACTTGTTCTGTTTTGATTTTGCCAGGTGGACAGAACCTTGTTGGAGGGAGACCCTTCAAGGTGGTATTTTGTTCTGTTGATAAAATACTTTTTAAGTAATTGACAAACAGTAAGCAAAAGCACAGTAGGCTCTTCTACTCTACAACTTTCAGTCAGTTGCATGACTAAGATATGATCTTCGGTACAATGTTGGTTGTAAAAGCCTGCTTGTTTCCATCACAGACCTTCATGAAGGACGCCCACGAATGCAGGTATAAATTACAATCACAGATCATGTAGAAGTGGGAGGGAAGGCAGATTGTTTTTTGATATTCTGTCTTTTTTTTTTTCTTTTTGGTGAGGCAGTCGGGGTTAAGTGACTTGCCCAGGGTCACACAGCTAGTAAGTGTCAAGTGTCTGAGGCTGGATTTGAACTCAGGTCCTCCTGACTCCAAGACTGGAGCTCAATCCACTACACCACCTAGCTGCCCCCAGTCTTTTTTTTTTTTAATTAGTCCATATTTTTTCCAAGCCTCTCTCTTCTTTCCTGTATCATGAGAATTTAGTTCAGCAGTGTCCTCAAAATTTCATTGCCTCCATGACATACCTCCTCTCTTTATACTTCCCCTCTTTTCATCTCTGTTTCTTCAGTACCATTCCACTTCCTTGTTCAGTGTATGTTAGGACTATGGCGTAGAGAGTCTAAATGTGGTAGGAGACTCCACTGTTATTGATAGTGAGAAGAGTTAATTGTAAAAATGTTTATAAATCTCCATTTCTCATCTGTTGTCTGATTTCATCCTTAAATGCTCTCAGGAAGACTTGTCTTAGTTGTCTCTCAACAATCTTTCTATAAATGGTTCTATCCTCCACTGCTTCTGTTTTGAGGTAATACCACTCTTAAATTTCTGCTATCCTCTTCTTTAAGATTTTATAGATGAGTTATATTTTAAGTCATTGTTGTCTTTACTGTCATCGCTCTCTCTCCTTGAAAGAAGATCAGGTCTTTTGGTGTCATCATTATGGTGATTGATTTGCACAGTCAGTCACCATATTCTAAGGCATCTGTATCAATGACAGTCAAAAATACAAAATGGATAAAAGAACCCACAAAAGCTGTTCTGCATTCATGGCATTCTACTTCCCTTTTGTTTGCCTGCTTACACGACCGCAGTATGCTACCTCTTCTCACCTCTACCTCACAGAACCTCTCTGATTCTTCTAAGTTCAGTTTATGTGTCACCTCCTGTAGTCAGTCAGGCCTTTCTCAATTCTTCCCTCCCCCTCACCCCCAATATAGCACTTTGTATTTGGTGTCAACTTAACTATGTACATATTATTTTCCCCCAATAGGATTGTAAGCACCTAGAGGACAGGGACTGTTGAGTTTTGCTGTATCCTCAGTATAACATGAAATAGGTGCTTAACTGTTTGTTGATTGATAGATCAGATCATAGTTGCCTTTATTGCTCACCTTTTCTTCTCATTTTAGTCCTTCTTTTAACTTTGTATTGATTTTTTTTTGAACAAGTGTGTGGTCTGTACTCAAACAGCTCACTTGGAAATCACAGCCCCATGGTAATGAATCTTTTTCTTGTCTGTTAAAATTAAGTTTCATTCTTTATGATGTCATTTGGTATTCACTACGTTCAGCATCTCCAGACACCTTGAAGAAAATAATCATAATATATAGGAATGAGACTTCTATATATAGTAGAGCCTTTGCTCTGAACCATGTTTTCTGACTTGTTTTTTCACCATCCTCCCCTGTTCCCATCCTTTTCATTAAAGTTTTTAAGTATTAAAGTGTGTGTTGACTTCATTTGGAGGGGCTTATCAGTTTCTTTTGGTAGACTTTATTTACTTAGGCAGCTAGAGCAATGGGACTTGAGCCAGGAAGACCTCAGTTTCAGACACTTACTGGCTATGTGACCCTGGACAAGTCATTTAACCTTTGTTTGCCTCAATTTATTCATCTGTGAAATGACGATAATAATAATAGCACCTACCTGTCAGGGTTGCTGTGTAGGTGAAATGAAATATAATTCATAAAGAACTTAACACAGTGCCTGGCACATAGTAGATACTTAATGAATGCTTATTTCCTTCTCATCCTTTTCAAATAAATGTTGATGCTTAAGCAGAAATTATTTTCATGGTGCTCTCCTTGCCAATGTTATCCTGAGCAATGCAATATGAGATGACAAAACATTCCATGAAATGTTTATTGTTGCCCTTGGATGCGTGATAAAACTAACTCTACCAACTCTTTTGTTTGCCTCTTCAAGTAGCACCTGTGAGCCATCAGTGCAAGGAGCTGCAACTTTTTTGTTGTGTTCAATTAAGAATAAGATTGTCAAGATAGATGTGATTAATTTCTTTCAATAGTATGTCCATTCTGTGGACAATCAATTGGATTTTCTTCCTCTGTAAGATGAGACAGGACGGGCATAGATCAAACAACAGGCATTTACTAATCTTTAGAAATGTATGATGGGCTCACCCTGTTGTTCTGGCAATGGCGGGGCGGGGCGGGGGGGGGGACGACAGCAAGACTACGTAGACGACTCTTCAGTTTATTTTGTGGTGTCCATTAGGCCATACGTGATAGTAGCAAGTGCTTCTAAGTGTAGCTTCTATTTATAGTAGATCCAGAGATCCATGTGTTTTCTTTGGCATGAAAAGTATTCTTTTTAGAGCATTGTGGGGATAGGGAGAATAATACAAAGAGGGGGGTTGTTGGTTCTGTGGTGTGATGTTGCCTCTAGCGAGAGAGCATGAAAGTGGGTTGGGGAGGAAGGTGAAGTCATTGAAAAGGTAGTGAGGATAACACAGTCATGCAGGTGATTATGTAAACAACCAAATATCATTTGATTGAGAGGTTGGCTATCCTAGGCAGTAATTGCTCTTTGTACCCCTTAGAGAAACATGAAGCGCAGTGGAAGCAGACACTGTTTGCACAGGAGAAGTAGGTTCAGCTCCCGTGAGAGAGACTGGCTGAAAGAGGATGTGAAGAGAGGCTGTGTCTACCTCTATGGAGCAGAAACAGCTACGGCCACTGCCACTGCCCCTGCCTCCGTGGCCAGCACTGTCACGTCGTCCTCTTCTGATTTACACCTCGTCCTTTGCACGGTAGAGACACCAGCATCCGAGATATGTGCTGGACAGGGAAAGGAAAGCCTTTATTTACAGCTCCACGGAGACCTGGTCAGGTAAGTGTGGAGTTACACCCTGTTTTCTTAGGGAATATATAAATACAATTAAGGCATACTGCCTGAAAATGGATTATAGGGAGAGGAGTCTTGAATTATGCTGGGATTGATGTGATTGTGGAGGGACTAGACTCAGCTAAATAGAAGCTTTGCTTTTAGAATGCTTAACAGAGAGAAATTTGAAGATTTAAATTGTGGAATGTCGGGTATAAAAATTTGTGTAGTTATTTCAGTTGGTTTATAGCTGGCATTTATTGGATCTACCTCAAGAGGAATGAATTTTTTAAAAAAATAAAATTTTGATATCACCCACATTTCCTGACATGTCCCTTCTACTCCCAGAGAACCATCCCTGATAACAAAGAATAAAAAAGAGGAAAAAAAAACAGGTCTAGCAAAACCAACCAACACATCGAAAAATCTGATGTTATAATGCAACAGTTCCCCGTGCATAATCCCCCATCTCTGCAAAGAGGATGGGCAGGTACCCTCTTGTATGGTTCCTCTGGAGCACAGCTCGGTTATTCCAGTCTCTCAGCATTCACTTGAGTTTGTTGTGTTGTTCTTCCCTTTCACGTTGCCCAAGTCATTGTGTATATCGTGTTTCACCTGGTATCTGTTATATATCAGTTTGGGGAAGAATCTTTTCATGGATCCATGTTTTATACTTCATATTAAGCGTGTAATAGGATTTATGGACTTTTAGAGGTAAACGCCTTCATTTTGCCAGTGAGGAAACTCAGGTCCAGAGAATTTCCCTGATTTGTGAAGAGCAGTGCTGAGATTAGAGCCTGGTTCTCTTGCTTTCTGATTCCACTGTACTTTCTATTATCCTACACTGTCTATGAGATGGTGCTCCTCTTACCATATCCCTGTGAGGTATGTGCAGAGAAGGATGTGACTTGTCCAAGGTCGCAACTAGGAAATGTAACTTCACCTCTAACTCAAAGTCTAATATTCTTTCTTTAACATTAAACTGGGTAACTCCACACTATTATTAGCCTTTTTTTTTCATATTAGCACTAATTGTTCTTAGCATGTGTCCAGTTTATATTTATATGGTTTGGACTATATGAGAGCATATCTCAATTTACACTTTAATTGATTTCCTAAAAAGGTGTGTGAATAATTTTTTCCCTACCTTTCCAGTCTTATAGCTATACCTCTCCTGAAAACTTTCACTTGGTCCCTCCGCCCCCATCCCCCACCCCACTTTCCAGTCTTCTCACACCTTATTCTTCACCACATATTCTTGGATCTGATGACACTGACCGTCTAGCTGTTCCTCAGACCTGACATTTCATCTGTCAGCTGTGAGTGTTTTCACTGGCCGTTTGCCTGAAACTCTCTCCTTCCTCCTCTCTGTCTCATGGCTTTCTTCAGGTCTCAACTGAAGTCCTGCCTTCTTTATGCAAGAAACCTTTCCCAGTCCCCCTTAATCTTAGCGCCTTCTCTCTCTTGATTATCTCCAGCATGTCATGGTTATCTTTTTTGTACATAGTTGTTTGCATGCTGTCTTCTCCAATAGACTGTGAGCTTCTTGAGAGCTGGGATTGTCTTTTGCCTTTCTTTGTATACTCAATGCTTAACATGGAACCCATAACATAGTAGGAACTTAATAAATGCTAGTTGACTATAACTAAATTGAATCAGTTACTCTAATATTATAATTTCAGATATTTCTTACCTTGGTATCTGATCTTTAGTTTTCATTTTCTTCATTCCCCATCTCCTTTGTCAAGTAGATAATATACATCACTTTCCTTGACTGCACTGCAGTTTTAGATACTGTTAACCAGTCCCTCCTCTTGTATACTCTGTCCTTTCAGCTTCTGTGACTGTTCTCTTAACTACTTGTCACAACATTCCTTCTTACATTTTCCTTTTCTGGGTCACCATCCATCTCTTGCCACCTTGGTTGGCATAGGTGTTCCATAGGTCTCTATTCTGGATCCTCTTCTTAGTTTTTTCGATATCATAAAAACTTATGAGGTTCAAGTATTACTTCTACATAGATGACTCCCAAATCAATACATCCAGTTATAATTTCTCTCCTGAACTCTAATTATACTTCATCAGCTGTCAGCTGGATATCTCCTTTTGGATGTCCCTCATGCATCTCATATACGGATATATTGTGTCCAAAACAGGATTCACTAACTCCTTCACATCATCTCCCCTAACCTTCCTACCAGCTTCTCTTCTTGGTTGAATGTACAACCATCTTTCTAGGCACTCAGGTTCATAATCTTAGAGTCATCTTTCACTCTTCCCTCTCTCTCTTATCCCCTCAGTATCCAACCATTTGTCAAATCTCATCCATTCAACTTCTCTAAAAACTTTCACATATCCTTTCCCCTCATGCAGCCACTGCCTTAGCACTGCCATCACTTCTTGCCCTCACTGGTTGTAGCTTCCTCATTAGTCTTCTTGCTTCCAGTTTCTCTCTTCTCAAATCTGTTTTCCAGACAGCTGCCAAATCTTGTCCAGAAACCTTCCTTGCTTCCCTGCTGCAGCCTTTTGGATAAAATATAAATTTCTTAGCTTGACATTGAATGCTTTCTACAGTTCAGCTTCTACCTGCATTTGCAGCCTTACTTCATTCTAGTCCTCATTTTTATTATCTTAGCTCATTCTACCTGTGAGCAATTGATATTTTCCAGTTGTTTAGATCTGACTTTATTTATATGAAAAGTGTTTTGTAATTGTGTCCATATAGTTCCTGGGTTTGTCTTGGCAAGTAGATTCCCAAATATTTTATATTGTTTACAGTTATTTTAAATGAAATTTCTCTTTCTATCTCTTGCTGCCGAACTTTGTTAGTAATCTATAGAAATGCTGATGATTTATGTGGGTTTATTTTATATCCCACAACTTTGCTAATGTTAATTTTTTCAAGTAGTTTTTTAGTTCCTTCTCTTGGATTCTCTAAATATATCATCATATCTGCAAAGAGTGGTAGTTTTGTTTCCTCGTTGCCTATTTTAATTCCTTCAATTTCTTTTTCTTATTGCTAAAGCTAACATTTCTAGTGCGGTTTTGAATAATAGTGATGGTACAATGGGCATCTTTGTTTCATCTCTGATCTTATTGGAAAGGCTTCTAGCTTATCCCCATTACATATAATGCTTGCTGATAGTTTAAGATAGATACTACTTATCATTTTAAGGACAACTCCACTTATTCCTATGTTTTCTAGTGTTTTTATTAGGAATGGGTGTGATATTTTGTCAAAAACTTTTTCTGCATCTATTCGGATAATCTTATTATTTCTATTTATTTTGTTATTGATTTGGTCAGTTATACTGATCGTTTTCCTAATACTGAACCAAAACTGCTTTCCTGGTATAAATCCCACCTGGTCGTAGTGCATTATCCTGGTGATAAATTGCTGTAATTTCCTTGCTGATATTTTACTTAAAATTTTTGCATCAATATTCTTTAGGGAAATTGGTCTATAATTTTCTTTCTCTGCTTTAGCTCTTCTTGACTTAGGTATCAATACCATATTTGTGTCATAAAAGGAGTTTGGTAGGACTCCTTCACCTATTTTCCCAAATAGTTCATACAGTATTGAAATTAACGGTTCTTTAAATGTTTGTAAATCTGTCTGGCCCTGGGGATTTTTTCTTAGGTAGTTCATTGATGACTTCTTCAATTTCTTTTTCTAAAATGAGGTCATTTAAGTATTATATTTCCTCTTCTGTTAGTCTGGGCAATTTATATTTTGTAAATATTTATCTATTTCACTTAGATTGTCAGATTTATTGGCATACTACTGGGCAAAATAGTTCCGAATTATTGCTTTAATTTCCTTTTCATTGGTGGTGAATTCACCCTTTTCATTTTTGATACTGTTAATTTAGTTTCTTTTCTTTTTTTAAATCAAATTAACCAAAGGTTTATCTGTTTTATTTTTTTCCCCATAAAATCAGCAGTTTTATTTATTAGTTCAATAGTTTTCTTTCAGTTTTATTAATCTCTCCTTTGATTTTCAGGATTTCTACTTTGATGTTTAATTGGGGATTTTTCATTTGTTCTTTAGTTGCAAGCCCAGTTCATTGATTTGTTCTTTTCCTATTTTATTCATGTAAGCATTTAGAGATGTAAAATTTCCCCTAAGTACTGCTTTGGCTGCATCCCATAAATTTTGGTATATTGTCTTGTGATTGTTATTCTCTTTGATGAAATTATTGATTGTTTCTGTGATTTGTTGTTTGATCCACCCATTCTTTAGAATTAGATTATTTAGTTTCCAGTTAAATTTTTTTTTTTTTTTTTTTTGGTTTAGTGAGTGTTATGTGTCTGAGGTCGAATTTGAACTCAGGTCCTCCTGAATCCAGGCCCGGTGCTCTATGCACTGTGCCATCTAGCTGCCCCTTCCAATTAATTTTTAATCTGTGCTTCCATAGCCCTTTATTACATGTAATTTTTATTGTATCATGATTTAAAAAGGATGCATTTAATATTTCTGCCTTTCCACATTGGATTGTGAGGTTTTTATGCCCTAATACATAGTCAGTTTTTGTGTAGGTGCTATGTACCACTGGGAAAAAAGTATATTCTTCCCTGTTTCCATTCAGTTTTCTCCTGAGGTCTGTCATATCTAACTTTTCCAAAATTCTGTTCACCTCCTTAACTTCTTTCTTGTTTATTTTGTGATTAGATTTATCTAGTTCTGAGACGGGAAGGTTGAGGTCCCCCACTAGTATAGTTTTGCTGTCTGTTTCCTCCTGTAACTCATTTAACTTCTTTAGAAATTTGGATACTATACCACTTGGTGCACATGTTTAGTATTGATATTACTTCATTGTCTATAGTACCTTTTAGCAAGATGTAGTTTCCTTCCTTGTCTCTTTTAATTAGCTCTGTTTTTGTTTTTGCTTTGTCTGAGATCAGGATTGCTACCTTTGCTTTTTTTTTTTTTTTTTAACTTCAGCTGAAGCATAATACATTCTGCTCTAGCCTTTTACCTTTACTCTGTGTGTGTGTGTCTCTCT